TGCTCAAATATATTTAAGATTAACCATTCTGCTACAATTTATTTAAGAGAAGGCATACATCGGCTTTTTTTACTTAGCCATCTTTCAGGCTTATTATGTTCCTAAAGATTAATAGATAATCCCTTTTCTTGGAAACTCTATACAAAGTCCCTGCCATTTCAAAGTCATCACAATTCCCTGAAAAAGAGCCTGCAGCGGTAACTGAAACAGGATTTATCTGTCAGGTTCATCCCACAGAAAATCTCTGTGTCTGTACCCTGATAGGTCCAAGTCACCAGTACAGACAATCATCCATTTCTGTTTCAATACTCTGGATTTGGAAAATCTGCTTCAGAACAAATCAAAACAAGGGCAGAGGGGGAGTTCTAATCTGACTACAGAAATTTTAGTCCTGAATGTGTTCTCACGAACACATGATGTAAACAACCACAGTCATTAAACGAATATTTTGACCAGTTACTTTCTATTTTGTCTCTTATTTATGATTTCACACTATCTCAAACTTTAACTTAATACTTGGCCTTTAAAATATTCTGATGAGATACTGATGGGCTGGCTGCAGTATTAGTCATCAAGTAATCATTAATTCACCTTGTGTAAGCAAATTATAAAAGTAACTTATATGCATACATACTTATATATAAATTTTTTTTTTTATATGTATACACACACAAATGGCTGGGTTGGCATAACTGTATTTCATCTCTTCATGTGATGGATATATATATATATATAAAAACCCTGAAGTGTTAATATGCTAGGAAGTTTAAGAAATCTGCACATCCCACCTGCAATCCCCACAGAGTTCTATTTATACTGAAAAACTATTAAAATTTGGAGATTCCTTCTCTATGTGATTTTTCCATTACTTTTCACCATTTTATTTTAGCTGAGATACTAAACCTCTCTCTCTCAGTGAAAGTCACCACATCCATATTCCTCGAAGTTTTGCAGAGCATTAGGAATTTTCATCTTCTCCCAATATATTGCGCCACAAAATCATGACCCTTCAAATGTGCTGTGGTTCCTAAGGAGCTGATGGAAGGTGTAGATACGTAATCCTGGTTGAGAGGCAATGCCTCTGCTCACAGCACCATTACCAAGGTGCCAGTGGCTCCTGGCTTTATTCAGTAGCAGTGTCCCTGCATCTTGCAGGAGGACTGTGTGGCAGCCTCCTGTTCTGCGCCGGTGTTGTGCTCTCTGAAGAGAAGAGCACTGTTTCTTTATTGGAGCAGCAGTATCTACTGCAAATTGCAGACTGTGAGCACCATTATACCGGCATGACCACCTAAAGTTCTGCTCTTTTCAACTCTGCAGGTTATGTATCATATTGTCCTGTTCACACTTGTATTTAAAAACAGGGTTTTTTTAGAAAAGCTTTGTGGGATCTGGGGAATCTTTATGCCCTGTAAGTTCAAGATAGCACTAATACGGTTTTCAAAGCCACATGCAGATCTTACTCTTGATGGCACTGAAGTCCTTGAGATTTTGCCATGCTTTGATGGGACTAGAATGGGGCTCGTGGTAAGCAGAGGAAGTTATTTTAAATGTTTCAGGGTTATTTCAGATTTACACTGTGATATTTCATGGCAAGTTTTAACTACAAGGAAGCCTGTGTACATTACATTCTGAAGCAATGGAATACGACGGGTGATCCTTTCTTGCAGAGGACAAGGTAAAGAAGTAACGTAATTCATCTGGATAATGGGGGGTCAGGAAGGTAAGATTTCTGTGCCAGTTTCAGAACATGAAGGCTTTGAATATTGGCTACATCTCTGAATAATCATATTGGTTGAAATGAGGAAAAATATCCAAAATGTGCTTTTTAGATATGTAACTTGTGTTCACTGACATGGCCTTCTCAAAACATTGCAGTCTGTGTCTTCCATACAGTCCAAGTGCCAAAGGATGAACTACTTATGACAGTGCTGGAATATACAAATCACTTAAACACTGTCCTGAATGAGGAGGAACATGGTTTGCTGAATCAGAAAAACTATTTTTTCCCCCACACATATTTTCTGTCTCCTCAGTATTAGTAAAGTTGCTAAGTATTAAGGGAGGGGGGTCTTGCGTACTTTTTCTGCAATAAATGTGTGATTCAGTGAATATTTTCTTTTCACAAAGGCAGTTATAAACTATAATCAGACCCAACCTTCCTCCCAGTAAAGGAGGGAAGGAGACCTGAGGAGGAGCTGTGTAATTATACTTAAAGTGGGAGAGGAAAATAAACATTCCTGCTGAGTTCTGCATTTCATAGCTCTCCAATGTTTGACTTTGCAGTCTTGATGTGTTCTTTAAATGAATTTTGTCTTCATCATATATATTACAAAACACTATACTGAATGTTCAGATTCTTTCACATACTACATTGACACCTATATGTTTCATTACTGTATTATGTAATTTTTAAAGCCACTGCACAGGTCTTTCCTACTTGATCAGATAAAACAACTTATAACAGTAGTAAATTTTATTAGTTTTACAGTAGTAGGCTATTTACTGTAAACCAGTCATAAAAAGGAGATGAGGAACCACTTCTCTATACAATAAAATTATCTCTTGGAGCAAAGAAATGACAACTGAAAATCCAAGTTACATCAGGTTTTGTATGTGAATATTGAATGCAGTTATGAGCCTTTTTACCCCTTTTAACCCAGACTCTGGTCTTTCTGAACATCCTTTCCTTTGCTGATTCCTTGCTCTAGTCTCAGCATCTCTCATTCCCGTCTCTGAATCAGGACATATAGCCTCTCCTATTCCCACTTCCAAACCTAAGCATCTCATGCACTTCTCTTCCTAGCCTTACAGGACCTGATTTGCATGAAACCATCAACATACTGTGGTGTTTTTGTAAACATAAACCTGTTTTGCTCTTTTCTTCCTTATGGAAGTATGATAAGGAAGCCTTTTCTCTAGTGAAACTTAAGGAGATGAATAAAAGCAGGGAACACACCTCCTTGTTTTCAAGTGTTCAATCACATGATTTGCTACAGCTATCAGAAGAAACAACTTTGATAGTAATCTTGCTTAACACCTACATTCTTGAACAAAAACTTGTTTGCTATTGGCAATCATTCATCTAACATTAAACACATCTTTAATGAATTTGTTTCCAAAAAGTTATTTTTAGACTAAAAGGCTATTTTTGAAAAACTTAACATTATAAGGAAGAAAGTAAGTTGGAGAATAATCTCTTAAATGTCAGCCTTATGAAATACAGAAGAGCAGTAGTTTTACAGATTTGTGCAAAGAAATGATCTTTCACTAAAAATATGCACAGACAGATGGAAGTTAGGTGGATTAAAATGAAAACAAGTTCTCCAATCCATTCTCTACTTAAATCTTTGAAAGAAAGGAGCCACAATCAAGTATAAATTAAGAGATTTCCCAAAGGATTTATAATTGATTTCCAGTTCACTCTGACCTCTATTTTCCAGCTATACAGTTGACTATTTACTAACAAAAGTGTTTCCTTTCACCTACAGGGAGACTCTATTGTCACTCTGAAATAACAGAAACAGTTCACACCATCTCAGGAGCTGGAATTTATATATTTAAGGAATATCTGCCAATTTTCAGGACAAAGAGCATCTGTCATTATTTTTACAAAGTGCACATATTTGCCTGTACTATACTTCAAGCTTATAAAAAAACTTTAACAGCCCATATCTAAACATGAGGTTAGAACCTGGATAATGCAAAAAATCACATGACACCGTGCTATTAAGCATCCAGAGTTTTTTTTTTTCCTACCTGAAGAGCACCTACAGGAAGAAAAATGTTCTTCTTACATTCCAGGTGTGATGCTTTGTCTTTGATTACCTAAGGCATGGCATAGGGAGATTCAAATGGGATTTTGTTGGATTTTGCATACCTCCAGCTTGTTCCATGGCAGGTGTATTTAATAAGGCCAAATTTCACAGACTCCAACAAATTGTACCTCTAGAGAGCTGAACGTGACTGCAGAACCACCACAATGAGCAGAAAGAGTTTCAGGCTGAAAACATCTCCCACAGTCACATTTTCCCGAATGCTGTGGTAACACCAATAATTCATCTAGATTAAGCCTCATTATATCAAGATTTATATAAAAATGGCTCTGATATTACAGCGTTCATATTGCTTGAACAGAGGACGGGATCACCTCTGGCTGTGACAATTGACATACCAGAAATTGATTGACAGCACTCATCAGAAAAATAGAAAGACACCTAATAAAAAGAGCAAGGAGTTAAAATGTGGATTCCACTTGTTCTTGATCAATGTAGTCAGGTGCCCTCATGGGTAACACCTTAAAGGTATACTTTGGAATTCACCTAGGAAAATGTAGGGAATTCAGTGAGTAAGAATGCTGAATGCTTTCTATGACAAAATGACCAATATCAGGCTTTTTCCCTTTTGTCACATGGTCCAAAGGAACTCGTGGCTGAAGAAACACATTTTTTCAAAATGCTCAAAAATGGATTTTCCAAGTCATGCTCTGAACCCAAAAAATTGTGGGAATCTAAAAAAAAACATAAAGAATCACAGAATAATTTGGTTTTAAGGTGCCTTAAAGATCCTCTAGTTCTAACCCTCTGCCAAGGGCACCTTTTACTAGACCAGGCTGCTCAGAGATTCATCCAGCTTGGCCTTGAACATCTCCAGGCAACCTCTCTGGCAAAATAGAAGATGCAAATTCTATAAGTTGAATTTTTATACAGTGAGGAACTGAGTTTTACTGATAATGAAAATTAACTTTTTTTATCTCTATATAGGTTGATTCAGCAGAGAGTAGAGAAAAAAAAGCAGGGAAATCACAGTGACAGTCTAAAATTTACAATATCAGATGCTAAGCATTTATAGTAAAAGCTATGCATCAGTTGAGACAGTAAATTTGACAGGTATGTTTCAATGATTTTCCCCTTACATGCAAGAAAATATAAAGGTATTTCCTTGGTTTAGTGGAATAAATACAGATGGATAACAATTTTAGTAAACATTTTTATGAACTTCCCAATCCCTGAAAAAAACTTCTATCGGCCTCTGCATCATACTTGGTTGTTGCTAGGGGGTTTGTTTTGGATTTTTTTTTCTATTTCTCCCTTCTGGATCCTCACATAATATCATATTTGTATGAATTTTCCAGGCATTATTTCCTCACTCTTTCAAATAAATCTGAGTAAAACAAGGAGCCTGTCAAATGCAGCTATAACAAAGAATTTTTCTTCTTGACTGCATCTTCCTTTCCTGTAAACAGAAACAATAATTTGTCACAGAAAAATAGAATTTCTCTTCATAGCATATGGAACAACTCTGACCGTGAAGTCTCTTGAGAAATCAGAAATTAACTTTCATGGGCTTATTTTCTTTATGATGTTGGATCAGATAAAAATTAAAACATTGGAGAATTAGTCTCTCCATTTTCGTGGTCATATTCTTTTACCTTATCTTCCTCACTGCAGTCATCTTTTGTCTCAGCTTGAGCCTCTCTAGCAAAATAGAGCTGGCTACTTAGATTTGCCTTCTACTTATTTTTGCAATATAAACAGTGGACAGAAAAAACCTGTGGTGTTCCATTCTTATTCTGACTTTTCTTTCAAGGCATGTTTTTTTCTTTACATCTCCACTGATACTCTGATATCTAGAAAGATACTAATTTATATTCAATTCACCAATTTGATCTTTTTCCTACTCATACATCACCATTTGCATCATTGCCACATGAAAAAACAGTAAGAAAAATGTCAGCCAAACAGGTTTTTTGGCCAACACACCATAATTTATTCGAAGCATTTTATTAACCAGTGAGGTACCTTACACATTATTTTAGAATCAGCAAAAGGTTCTGGCAACATAAAACTAGTCTAGTTTACCCATTTTTTGGATCACTGCAAAACTATAATTTTATTTTTTTTTTTCCTCCCAACTGGAACCACAAAAAAGTTTGAATTATTGAGATATCCTGGAAAGAGAATTTTCAGTGCATGATGGGTGAAGGCCATTTTCCACTGAGAGGAGAAACACCCTCTCTAGGTATTAGGAATATCCCCTGATCTTTTCTGCTGGACAAATTGTTTCTGAGTTGGAGCACTGTTCTTGAAGAAAAATTTATGTTAGTTAAATAGTATTCTCTGTTTTCTTCTAACAAACTCATTTTCATTAATCTAATGCTGATGTCAGAGGATTTCTCCTTGTTTACACTGATATCAAAAAACTTGCATTGACTCAAGAGAACAGTAGGTATTCTTTCCTGAAATAAACTGAAAAAATTTTTATTTATCTTAAAATGTCTGAATTTGCTGTGACAAATACGTAGTTATAAAAACTGAAAATAAAATATTTGGGCATAGTACAATGAATGTGTTTTATTTCCCTACTTGCAGAAAATAGAAAAATTTAGGAGCAAAATAACCACTGATTACCAGGCATATTCCACATTGTTTTCACTTAGTCTTGTGGAATTAAAAATATTTTTAAATTATTCATAATGAAGGTAGACAAGTCAAGTCCTAGTGACAATATTCAGATAAAATTATTGAGAAAGAAAATCGGATAGTCCTGACTTTCTACCTGCACTACAGAGATTACTGTATCTGATACACACTCTTATGAAAAGAGGGCACCATAAATGCATTTTGGTTGCATGGTAGATAATCAGCTCTTTTCCAAAGGTAGACACAACAGGGTACATACCTGAATGTTAGATTGTTTTGTGGCTTTCTTGTTTTAGAAGATCGTTTAAATGACTGATTTAGAGTATTAACAATGGCCTCCATGGTCTGGTGAAGGATATACAAATTTATTTATTAAAATAATACCACTTTTTCAAATAACACACTAGTATACTCTGCATTCAAGTCTCTAAGTTCTGTCACCTTAAAAGAATAAACAAAAAATTTTGCAAAAATGGTATTGGCAAATAATGCTTTAGCTCTAACATAGTTCATCAGCTTTCTTGTGCACTCCTGTGAAACTCATTTCTTTATTGTTTGACAGTTCTGGTAAATTCTGCTCAAGTATTAAAAAAAATCCCCCAGGATGACACAACAGTGTGTGTATGAGATGACTTATTCTTTGAGTTGGTGTCTAATAATTCAGATTAATCTTGTTCATCCTTTACTATTTTTTAAATGATGCTGTAGTAACATTAGCTTGCTCACCTACTATTTAGGTGATTTTACTATCACCTACTATTTAGGCCAGAAAACATAATTCTGCCAAAATACGCCTGAGCTCTCCAGAAGCAGATCTTGAACCAGATCATAAGAAAACAGAGGCAAACTCATGAAACTCATACCTCAAGGTGCACAGCTTGTCTGTGTGCAGCCACAGGATGTCACTGATGTTCCACTTACACGTCACAAACAATTAAAAGTAATCTCGGAACAGAATGCGCTCTCCCATGTGTTGAGACGCCATTAGTAAAATCCAGTTTAATGAGAAACCTGACTGCTGGAGGGGTATCAGCTGGCCAGATTAAAACCAAAAGAGTTGTATGGGGTTTATGCAGCAGGAGTTTGGTAGCTAGGGGACTACAGGGGTGGCTTCTGTGAGAAGCTGCCAGAAGCTTCCCCTTGGAATGGCAGCCAGTTCCAAGGTGGGCCCACTGCTGGCCAAGGCTGAGCCCATCAGCAATGGGATAGCAGATCTAAGAAGGGGAAGCAAGCTAAAGAAATGGCACTTTGAGCCAGTGAAGAGAGGAGTGAGAGAAAATATGTGAGAGAACAGTCCTGCAGACACTGAGGTCAGTGAATAAGGAGAGGCAGGAGGAGTTCCAGGTGCCAGAGCAGAGGTTGCTCTGCAGCCCATGGTGAGGCAGCTGTGCCCTTGCAGCCCATGGAGGTTCACATGCTGGAGCAGATGGGTGCCTGAAGGAGGGTGATCCTGTGGGAAGCCTGCACATGAGCAGGCTCCTGTGGAACCTGTGGACCCATGGAGAGAGGAGCACATGCTGGAGAAACTTGGTGGCAGGACTCATGATCCCATGGGGTTACATGCTGGAGCAGCCTGTTCCTGATGGACTGAAACCTTGGAAGAGACCAGTGCTGGAGCAATCTGTGGAGAATTGCACCCTGTGGGAAGGATTTGTGTTTGAGAGGTTTGTAGGGGACCATCTTCTGTGGGAAGGACCCCATGCTGGAACAGGGAAGAGTGTGAGGAGTCCTTCCCTTGAGGAGGAAGGGGAGACAATGTGTGATGAACTGACTGCAGCCCCCGTTCCCTCTCCCCCTGTACCACTGAAGGGGAGGAGATGGAGAAAATTGTCAGTGAAGTCAGGCCCTAGAAGAAGAGATGGCTGGGGGGAAAATGTTTGTTAGATTTGGTTTCCTTTCTCATTACTCTACTCTGATTTGGTTGGTAATAAATTAACCTTATTTCCTCAAGTCAAGTTTGCTTTGCTCATGATGGTAAATTGGCGAGTGCCCTTGTCTCAACTCATGAGCCTTTCATTGTATTTTTATTCCTTTGTCCATCTGGAGAGGGGAGTGACAGAACCAATTTTGTGGGCATCCTCGTATCCAGCTGTGTTCCAACCCAGCACAAGAGTCAACTCAGCTGGAGGATAATTTAGAGGTTGATTCTGCAGCTGGGGGAAATCTCATTTTACACTGTATTGTTACCATGTTAGCAGCATGTTGTGATATGAGATCCTGACCTGCCCAGATCACTGAATTCCCATTTCCAAAAGCTGTCCATTGGCAAAAGGTAGCAGCTTTTCTGAACCTTACTATTTGAGGTTAAGGGAGAAATCATTAAAAAATAGCTATAATACCATATGCAGAGTAAAAACTGGGCTGTTAGAGCCAAAATAAATATTTTAAATAAATAATTCTCTTCATAAATGTGTCAAGGAGTTTATAACAGTCCTATTTTATGGGCTCTGAGCAGTTTCTGATTTTTCTTGACATTTTTATAACTTCTATGGGAAAGAAAGAACATTTTGTCTTTAAGGAAAAGTTTTGACATCTTCATTATCTTACAAACAAGAAATGAGAAGCTAAGACAGCAGTATGAGAGTCTGTCTTTATTTAAAATTCAAACTTCTTTTCTTCTACTTTGTTCAATTTCCGCTTTCCATTATTACTTTCCTCAGAGATTTTTTTACTGATAAATTTTGAATTAACCATTCAAGACTGCAAAGTCATACTAAAACATAAATTATGGCTCGCCATAATGGCCTTCTAGCACTAAACTCACTCAGGATTTAATGCAGAAATCCAGATGTGCCTACCTTGGATTCCTGCCCTGAAAAGCTCTGAAAGCCATCACTAATCTTAAAATATTTTCACTTCTCAAGACTAGGTGCTTATATTAACCATAGAGTCTGTGTGGCTTGGGTCATGTTTGGCTGTACATGTACACAATACAATCTAAAACTATTTTGTTAAAATACATGTATTTGCCTATCCTCAGATGTGCCCACCCCAACATCCCACAGATCTGTTTTGTTTAGCACTCCAATATTGACAAGAACCCAAGAAGGATTCTGGTGGTATCTATATGGTACAGTAGCAACATCTTCACTGCTCCTTAAATCTGACCTCAGGCTATATAACACAGGCTACCTTCAGGAATTAGGAGTTCCTGTGGAAGACAGAAGCACATGCCCTCAGAAGCAAAGGACCACTACTTACAACAACTGACTCTGCAAAAAGATAATTTTCCATTTTGGTAAAACTCCCTGAAACCTGTTACAGCAGCGGAGACAAAGGGGGTAAATCAGATACCAGTTATTGCAGTATCATGCAGCATTGCTGTTTGGTTTTACTGGCTACTTTATCCAACTATCTTGTTGGGCTGGTAATTGCACTGGTAACTGCTGATACTCTCAATCAATAGTTTTATCTGCTTCCATGGTAACAAAGAGCACCCATGTGTATTAGAGTTAGAAATGTTTCCAAAGTTTCCCTCTTACATGCTAGGATCATCATCTCAAATCTTTAGAGACAGATGGGAAAAGTAAATCGAGGAAAACAATCAGCACAATAGAAGATTTAAAGTATCTTTCCTTCTGAAAGATGCTTCATTGGGTTTTTTTCTGTTTCTTTGAATGGTTTGACAGAAACAGCAAAGAAAATGCTGAAAGGGGAAGGTCATACATACCCTCTCTCCCTTCTGCAAGGTAGAAGGATAATGTAATACTGAAAGTTTCTCTCTTACAGAGACTCTCTTTCCTTCTTTAAATGGTTGGAAGGAATCTGGACTATGCTTCAGTCTCTATGTATTTGTCTCTCAGAAGCCCTTTGTCATCTTACTGAGAAGCGTTATTTTCTTCTATGATTTGGCTGTTAAGGAGGAGATCAACTCCTTTTCAATTGCCAAAATTGCTGCGTTTGTCATTCCTTCCTTACACACTTAAGAGAGTGGCTAAGAGATTATCTCAGTTAAGGGATTTAATATTTTCATAGTTCATTTGGCCTTAACCTACCTGATCTGTGTACCTTGTGTAATATACCAAGTGTATTAACAGAGTTACTCAACAAGCAACCAGACTAAAAGTACACCGGCTTGAAGATGTTTCTGCTATGTGGAGCAAAGAAGAATGGGTACCTGGCACAAGAGCTGAGCCTAGGATACTCCTGACAGGAAACAGGTCTAATTGTGACATGAAAAAGCTCACAAACCAGAACCAGTGTAAAGAAGCTCTCTGTGGGACCTATAGAGCATTGTGTGAGGTTGTGCAGCTCATGAAGCCACTGAAAAGCTGCTGGGCTGAAAACAAGTACCAACTTGCAAGGACTCAGTGGGCAGGAAAATTTATCCTCAATCATTTCTCATTTCATGTCTTACTCAACAGATCTTTATTCATTTTTTCCCCCCTTGTTATTTATTTTTAAAACAATGCTTTGGAAACTGGAGGCATTTGAGCATGCTCATTAGAAAGAAAAGTTCTGAATTGCTACCAGTCACAATCTGGGGAGAATCAAATGAAAGAAATTCTATTCTGTTCTCTCGTGTGCATTTCTTTCAAGAACTAAGCCTAGCTATACAATGTATCTCTGCTCCACTAGTAGACAGTGAGTACAGTCAGGTGTCCACACCATTTTGAGGGAGGATTTAGAGACTCATATATAATTTATAGACTCATCTCTTTATGCCAGAGAGAGTATTAAAATAATTTCTTGAAGTTCTATATACCCTGGCGTAGAAGAATCACCTGGCAACGTGCACCCTGCCATTTAAGATTTGACATGGTAATTTACATTCATCATTGGAAATTAGTAGAGAAGCTTAGGTACCACTTCTTAAGACTAATTTCTGTGAGCATCTCTAAATATAATATTTAAAAAATAATAATTATACAGTAAACACCATTTTTACTACCATTTTTAAAGAGACAACTTAAAAGGACTTTTCTATAGCCTTGCCTCATTTTGACCTAAAATGGCAAACATTATTGTGATTAAAATTGTCCACTTTTCTATGCTTGGAATCTGCAGTGAAAATACAACTGAACACAGTGGAATGAAAAGTTTACTCTTCTATTCACAAAGTTCAGAGATTCATCCACAACTATTAAAATCCTCATTTTGTCTGTTGTAGTTAGTCAGATAATTGGAGCTATAGTAGTATGGGATGTGAATGATATTGCAGTGGTAGAGACTATAAAACCAAATAGAACTATGCATCTAAAAAGTTCAAGAGACTGAAATCTCTCTCTGGTGCCTAAAGTGGTTGTAATCCTTCAATTAAATTCATCAGTGTTAGAGAAGTTTTGTGTCTTTGTGTAATAGCAAAAATTAGGTAAGTTGAAATACCTATATTAGTAAAACCAAGAACAAATTTAAGAAAAAGAAAAATTAATTCAATCTGAGTTATTTACCAGCTACCACAGGCAACCAAATGATAGAATTTAGTGGCATAATCTTCTGATTCACATAGGAATACTGAGACACTATTCAGTCTCTTTTGTTGGAGTTGGTGTGCTTATAAAACTGGAAACAATTTTCCAAAAATAAACTGAAAAGTGTGGCTTATATGTATGAATTTTGGTAGAGTTTTAATCAGCAGCTTTTGGGACAAATCCAATTTACTCCCTCATTTCGTGTAAATACACAACATGGAATTCACAGATGAAGTCAAATGGAAGAGATGGCCCACAATGTAGCTAATTCTGCCTTTTTCTGACAAGTACTTTGTAAGCCTGATCAAGCCATCTCATTTAAAATTTTAACTAAGTCTTTATCCAAAGAAAAATTAAGTTTTCTAAAGGGATGTTTTTCACAGTATGACTTTGAACTAGCTTATAAAAAGATAGCTGAATTGA